TGCTACAGCTAGCCATCAAAATAGAATCTTTCACCTCCAATCTATGTTAGGGACAGTATTAGTTAGTGGGTGACACTAGGATACAGTATCATTAAAACACCTGGGCAGAACCCATCATATAGTAGAGGCCGTTCTCCATAAAGTGTCTCAAACTGGCCAGTTTCACATTACCATCCTCTTGTTTCCGTAGGTCACCTTGTCTGCTAGGGCCTTAGCAGTATAAGATCTTGTACTGCCTTTGTGTTTAAAGTGTAACAGCCTACAAATTCTGGTGTTCTGTGCCCGTGATTCAGCACAGCTGTTCTGTTGCTGTACAGCGGTGTGCAGGATTATTGTACTCACACATTCCCAACAGTTCAGCACAGAAAGGAAGATAAGCCTTCACCTATGCTGTTTAATCGAACTGGACACAAGGTAATGGTACTTCTCCCTGGCTCCACTGTAACAGAGTGGTGAGGGGGTTTCAGCTAAAAGGAAGATACGCTGCAGGGTGTTCCAGTGGCACGCTACTTAACCCACCGAGGCAAGTTGAGACACGGAGTATCTGACAGTTGTACCATACACTACCACCATAATGCTGACCCAAGTGCTTGCTTTTTATCTGAATAGTATGTTATTCTGAGGTGCTGCAAATACTGTTTATGAACCATCAGTACCCCCCTTATAGGCACAGGTTGTTGCTAGTAGAGGAGTGTGTTCTACCTGACAACTGTTCTAGTGAAGTTTGCCTCATGGGAGAAGGACCTGTAGCAGTCAGCAGATGCACTGGAAATAATATTAAAATTTATCACAGCCTAACAGTAGGACTATCCCAAAGGCCTTAACAGCAATGCAAAAAATCACTTACTAGCTGTAGTGATGATCTCAGGATGGATGTATTAGAGAAAAATGGATATTTTCTCCTCTCTAGTACAATAAGTTATATACAGTGCATAGCATTTGACTTTACTTAGTACTCATTTCAATAATTGCTTTGTTACATGAATACTGAAAGACCTCAGCTGCCCTCACACATGCATTTGAGTACTGATGGCTTTAGGGGAAGTAAAGTGCACATATCGAAAGGCAGATGCTCCCTAGCTTAAAGCATCTCTTGCTGCAAATAAAGCCCATTAGAGCTCCACTCATTCGCTAATCCATAAATCACACTTCACACCCCCATAGCTCAAGCTGCAGCTGGAGCCTTTGAGTCGGTGCAGTTCTAAACTTTGTACCTGAGTGGGGTACAAAACATCTTTGATGGGGGAGGGGGGTTTCTTTCTATACCAAAGATAAAATTCTCCCATTCTAATAGCACAACCTTGTAGTCTGTTTCCAAGCAAGTGTTATTAGACAGCTATGAATGAGCCAATGTCTCTCCAGTACTAGTGGTCGGTTTTGTTTTTTAAAACTCACTGGTGTGGGAAAGGACACATCGTAGCAGCTGATTTCCTTAAAGGGTGATACTGGAAATAGCTTGGCTCATGTAAAGGAGAGCTGGCCCTATACAGCAGTCCTAATAGGTCCTAGAGCAAACCATCTACTTGGAAGAGTAGAGAAGATTTATTCCCAGGACAGAAAATGCAATTTATCACAGGCAGAAAGACACTCTCACAGCACCTTGGCCAAGGAAAACATTTCAGTGCTTTCTGAAAACAGCGCCTGTAGAGCATTTCAGGCATCCTCCATTGCAGGCTTCAGAAACAGGAGATGTTAAGTCTTTACAAGCAAGACCCAATACACTTTTCCTCCTAGAAGGGAAATGAATACGTTTAACCAGGCAACCAGTAAAATCCATGTTCTCTTGGGTTAGCCAGTGACATCCAGAGAGAGATCAGGATGGCGAGAGGTCATCTGCAGGTAAATCCGTTTGGAGAGTTCTGGTCCAATCCGCCGTGACGTGGCCGTTACACCATTGCCACGGCGCACAGGTATGTCAGCGAGCATGTTCTGTTGCTCCCGCTCTGAAAGGCATCTACGATAGGCCTAAAAACAGGACAAAGGAATGGTGATTTCATCCATTGTCACATTCCTTTGTGGACAAAGGACAGAGGGAAGGGTTCCTTCACTGCTCCAGCCTTTCATGTTTTACACTCCTTTTATCAGTTCTCCCACCAGACCTCACGTGGTAGCCAAGAGGCAGCACCCACTGTCAGCAGGAATTCAATACGGACAGACTAGGTGCACTGTTAGGACTGTGCCCGGAACACAACTGCAACACAAAGAAATGTGCAGCCTGGATACATCTAGAACAGCCAGTGCTGCTTTACTTATGCAGGACTGGAGATTCATTTTCCCTCTCTGCACGGGGAACACTTATTCAAGCAAGGGAGGGGATGAACTTTAGTAAGACAGAGATCTCCTCTCAATAGCTTCATTCTGCTCTGAACGCCAGTCTGTGACTTTCTGCCGGAGTCAGCGGATGCAGAGAAGTCATGTCTTCCATCACTTGCATTTAAAGCCTTCGACTCAAACTGTATCAGTCACCACTGTTGAGGAGTTTCAACAAATCCTGTGAGCGGCCTGTCCACACCGGGAGTTAATCCAGAATAGTTACTCTTGATTAACTCAAGTGTAGATGCTCTTATTCCAAATTAGTTTTATCCACTTTAGAAGTGGATTAAGCCAAACTAAGTCTTGAATCAAAGCATTCACACATTCAATTCATCAGGAATAATCAGTCTGCTTTAAATTCACACCCTGCTTTATTCCAGATTAATATTCAGACGCAGACGTGCCTCACATCTGAAACATTCAGGCTCAAGGTACCTCCTGTCAGAAGCACAAGGGAAGGTTCCTTATGAACTACCACTAATTATTTCAAATATTTGTGGGGGAAGGGGGGAGTGAACAGGAAAAGAGCCTATCAGGCAGTCCCAGTTTTTCCATAGATTACTCTGGTGTCCTATAAAAATAGCTCTCCTTGTTGTCAACATCTCCCTCACATGCAATCTAATGCTTAAAGCAGAGGAATGAGGAGACTGGAGTTTTATTCCTGGCTCTGTCACTAACTCATTGGAGTGCTGGGGCTGGGTTACAATCTGTGCCTCACTTTTCTCTTCTGTAAAGTGGGGATAAGGGCCACCTTTGGAAGTGTTTTGAGAGCCACCAATGAAAGGCGCTATGGAAATACAAAGTGTTTGCCACAATTACCCCATGCACTGCCATGAGGGGACTGGATGTTTCAAACAAAGTATTCTAAGCTGACATGGGATCAATATCTCAGAATTAATCTCTATGAAGTTATTTAACACAAGTAACATTCTTCCCCTCATTGCATTAGTAGCTGTGTGTGCACAATTGTATCAATAAACGTCAGGCACCCTTACCTGATCCAGAAGCAGAGGAGAAGGGTATGCAGCCACAATGGCGCTGGCCATCTCCAGACTGACCCGGTTGAACTGTTGGATCTGCCTCTTCCAAACCTGCGAGAGTCCCTTCCCTGAGCGGTCCACCTTCACCCCCCTACACCATTCACTCTCCAGGTAGAAGGAGAAGCCGGTCTTCTCTCGCTCTTTCCTGCAGAGGGCACAGAAGGGAAGGAGAACAAGACAATCACAAAACTTATCTTTTGTTTCTCTCTCCAGTTATCTGTTGAGAGATGCAATGGCTACAGAGCAGGGAAGCCTCACATCCAGCACAGAATTAGAGAGATCAATAATAGCAAGATAGATGTGCAAAATCTGACTTACCTTCCCTACAAGTGTTAGCAAGATCCTTTTATAGGGGTGGAAAATAACAAGAGCGTGGCACATTAGAAGCAGGGCTGGCTATAACAAAGGGCACAGAGGCAGCTATGCTGGCTTTGTGCTACCAAGGGATTCCTCTTAGCAAGAGCAGCTTCAGGCCCCCTTTTGGCAGCACAAAAGGAACTGGGTATAGGGCAGAAACTGGCCCAAATAATCTCCGCTTTTTATTTTTGATACCAATGGCCCAGCGCTATGAGCAACCCTGCAACAAACCAATGCACGTGCAATCTGGGAAAACAGAATTCAAGCTGTCAAACAGACATTATAAGCAGCATATAAAAGAATTTTAAAGGTTTGTGTGTTTTCATGGATGTTATTGTGAGACAGACTGAAGCTGCTGTGGTGGGTGTGCTAGTATGGGGTTCAACTTTACACTGCTGGGGAATGACCTGTGAGAACAATTACAACAGGTGTCTTATTATGATCATCTGCTAAATGGGGATTCTGCCTCAGTGACATCTCTCAAATCACAAATATTTTCAGGGTGAAACATAAAAGCTGGTGCTGTAGCGATTGAATCCAGCTAGAGGGCAGAGCTCTCCTTATTTACATCCCCTTTCCCCTCCAAACACAGATTGAAAAGAAGATCTTTGCTTGACACCCTCTCTCAAGTCAGACTCCAACACTGACTAGGAGAAACAAGCTCTAGGGGTTGTAGCCCAATGCACCACCTGTTTCAATGCAAGAGGCACTAACACCGTCTGCTCTAAGGCACCCCATCAATGGCTGCTCAGCACAGCCTGGTCTTTGAGGATGTGTCCTCACTGTGAAAAAAGTGTATTCTTAACTCAGGTTAAAGTAGCAACGAAGACACTGCAACTCAGCTTTCAACTCAGGTTCAACCCCAGGCTGCCCTATAAGCTTTAACTCATGCTGCTTACCCAAGTTAAAGCAGTGTCATTGTGTCTTCACTGCTATTTTAACCTGAGTTAGCTAACTTGAGTTAAGAACACACCGTCTCTTTTGCAGTGAAGAACGTACTACACTGTGTAGCACTGAAGTAAGGCTGTATGATCACTGTTCCCCTCCAAAACTCATGAAAATGAGGCCTCTCGTGAGGATATCTCCAAAAGCAAGTTGGCTTATAAAATAAACCCCATACGCTCACTCACTTGAATGGTGCTTCAGCTACAGCTTTGGTGAACATACTGGCAAAGTCTCCAAGTTCCTTCCAACTCTCGAGGATTCTAACCTGGACTCCTGTGTGAAGCTGCAGATCCACCAATGCCTGTAGACATGATAGGGCCCAAGAGTGAGTGAGGTGACTCATCCCCCAGCACACACCAGCCTCAAGTCCAATCCCTCCCCTTTTTGCTTAGGTCAGACATTTAGGGGATGTTTTGGGAGGGGACACGAACCCAAGAAGCCTCCAAAAACAGCCACACTCGATCAAGAAACCAAACAACACATACAAGATTGTGGAGTAACAAGGGGCCTTCATAGGACTTAGCATCAGAGGTGGCAAGGTGTTTTTGGGACGCTGCCCCAGTCCCTTATTGCAGCCTGCTGTAGAACAAGAAGGCTGCCTCAAGTCAGCTGGCTCCCCAACATTGGAATGGCTAGTTTGAAGCATTAAAAGATACAGTTTGGGATGTTCTAGTTTGGGATGTTCTAGCATTAAAAGTACAGTTTGGGATGCCTCTTGAGTTGCTCTATAGAAAAATGTGCTGCATGCCAATTTAATGCAATTTCAGTTGTAGCAGATTAACATCTCCATAAAGAGGCCCGTTTTGCACCATTTACCCCATCCAGTGTTCATTGCCACCTACTGCACACACTCTGGTTAGGGTTATCCACTGGGCTGTGAAGAATGATGGGTGTTACATCAGAGATCTACATAAAGGGAATGACATCTGGAATTGACATGGAGGAGACACCCTGGTCTCCAGGGAAGTGGGATACATGTGCAGCATTAGGGTCCTCTAGCAGCTAATCACAGATGAAAATCTCCACCTCATTCAGGCTGCCTCCCTAGCAGCAAGGAGAGTGCGAGAGAATGCGCTTAGACACACAACACGGCCAAAAGAGAGAGACAAAACCAAGTACCTGATTCTCGCTAACATCAGAATCCTTGGGCCTATCCTGTTTCTATTAGATATGTTCAGGTCAGTTCCTCTTTGCCTATGGTAGAGAGCTGAGGCTGAAAGGCTCTCCCCACAAACTCAGGTATTAAAGAGGGTTGAATTCCCCTCACCACAGAGTGGGTCTTCTCAGGTAAAATGCCAAATCATCGAGAAAGCCAGGAAAGCAGAATAATGCTCCAAGTTTACCCACTTCTTCCACTTCCACCCTGGACAGCTCTGGGCCAGAATCCCCCTTTCCCTTCCGTTTTTTCCGTTTCCCTTGTCCTTCTACTTGGCTTCCATTCAGCACTGCCTGCCGCAGCTTCTTCCGGGACTGAACTTTGTGAGATCTGAGAAGAGAAAGAATAGCCCAGGAGTCCACATCTGCTCCAGTGCGAGCAGAAGTCACTGTAGGAATGGTGCAGGAGTGCAGGCTGCTCGGGAGCTCACTGTTACCAGCTGTCCCCAGGTGGAGACGCTGTATGAAACAGTGAAGGAACTCTGCTGCTGTTTTTCATGTTTCAGCCTTCGCCAGTAGGAAATACAAGTAATGATGCAGAACACTTATGGCATTCTAGCTGTGGCTACTGCCAGCACTTATTCTGCAAGAAACAGCATAGAAATCTCTGAAGGGAGAATTCTAACCTGAAATATTTCTCTAGTTCGACTACAGCCAGTGCTAGAGTTTTCCCAGGAGCTCTCTCCATGACACAAGCTACGAAGCTCCGTAAAGTCTCTTTCGGTCCTTCTGTGCCACCCTGGACTTCCTGCAAAGAGAGCCAGGAAATACCATTTAAACCCCCTTTGAACCATACAGTTCAGGACAACACTAGCAAAGAGCAACCTCAGGCCCCAATCCTTCAGCTGAAACTGTGCAGATGTAAGGGTTTGCACAGACAGATCCACTTGCAGAACTGGAGTCTCAGGTTTCAGTGCTGCAGTTAAGTCAAACCCCTCAACATGCAAATAAATTTCTGCACTCCCAAGGCCTCCTTCCAATACAGCAGCAATGGGGCGGGGCGGGGAGGGAGAGCGGGAGGTTCCATCTCGCCAGTTCAGAAGGCTTGACAACATTGGGACATTCGTATTGTTTTAAAACAGGAAAATTGTTATTCGCCCTAAGCCTCCAAACAAACCTCCATAAAAAGAGAAATGGGTAACCCAACTGTTTGAGCAAGGCACGTTCGGACAGCACATAGAAGCCACAAGCAACCTCACCTGCCTGTAGCTGTAGATCATGGATACAAAATCCTCCAGGCGAAGCAGAACCAGGATATTGGGTTCTTCTATCCAGCTGCCTTCTTCAACCTGCCCAGAGTTGAACACATACTGAATTCAGGATATTTGTGAAAGCGATCCTATTCTGATCCTAGCTTCGTGTATACCAGGGTTTTAGCCACAGATGAAACATTTCAGTCTGAGAGCTTGTTAATGACCCATCTCCCTTAAGTTGATGCTCCTGCTCATTGCTCACCAAAAGGAGGCAGAAGGGCAGAGTTACTCAGACTGCTGATGAGTTTTATAGTGCACATGTGGCATCAGTTTATTAGTAATCGGAGAGCGAGAGGCTGGGAACAGCAAGAGACCAGTGAAATGCGACACCAAAGTGAAGAACATTAAGAGAGCTCAGCAGAAAGAAGGGTCTGAGGACATGGACGATTCATTGTGTTTATATAGCGTTAATAGATAGTATCAATCTGCTTTACAGAGAGTCACTAGTAGAAAAGATTCAACAAGGGGAAGTGGCACAGTGGCCTGGAGTGAGGGGAGCAAGTTCCAGATCAAAGTGAACAACAGCTACCCTTCTGGGGAGGGATGAGAACAAGAGAGAGGAGTGAGTGATTGGGGCAGTAGATGGGCACAAGGTCAGAAGTACTGTGGAGAGAATATCTATTGATAAGTCTGAATACCAGCAAAGGAATTTGAAATTGGATTCAAAGATGGCTAAGAAGTCAGCAAAGGTAGCATGGAGAATGGGGATGTAACGGTTCCACTTCTGGGAGGAAAAGCAGTCTGGCCAGAGCATAGCTGAGATTTAAGAAGACCATAAAAGGGGGATTTAGAATAGTCCAGAATGGGAATAAAGGTGCAGTTAAGCATTTCAGAGGAGTAAGGCCAAGACCAGGACTGGCACTATCTCAAGGGAGAGGCAAAACAGAAAGAGTTCAGATCAAGGAGAACATTCTAAGATTCTGCCCTGGCAACCAAGGCTTATGGTCCAGATTTATTCCATGTCTCTGAAATCACTAAAGGAGTTTTAACTCAGGAGAAAGACTAATTTCTGAAGCATTCAGCAGCAGGGTCAAGCAGGAGCTGACAGAACCATAGCAAGCAGTTAATGTCAAATCAGGTGTAGAAAAGGGTGTTATCTCACTAGAAATAATGCCAAAGGTTAAACGGGGGAGGGGGCATCACAGAAATAAGAAACAAAGACAGGTACATCTGGGAGCAGAATTCTGTGGCACTCCAAACAGAGAAAACAAAGGGGAAATCTAAATCTTCCTTCAGAAATGATAAAAGTGGCTCACAGGAAACTTGAGAAGAAAGTAGCCAGAGTTACTGGGACTGGAAAAGAGATGAGATGGGAAAGGTAAGTCTTGGAGTTTTTAGTTACATAGTATGGAGAAGAGCTAGTGAGAACAAGTGGGAAATGAAGTTTTGCATGCCAGGGAAAGACAAAAAAGTCAGTCTCATTTTAAGATTCTCTGGGTAGCTCACAGACAGACACAAGGCTACCACCAGTAACTGCAGATCACCAGGCAACACAACCCCAGGTGCTAAGCACAGAGGAAGAAAAAGGTGTAAACTTCAGACATTGTGGTCCCCTACCTGAGATGACCCAGCCCTCCTCCTCCTCCAGGTGATGCTACAGGGAACAGCCTGACTCTCAATCACACAGCCACAGTTCATGGACTGCAAAGCACTGAGGACTTGCCCACCTCCTTCTACCTGCAAGAGAACTGAGATGGGTGCAAAGGTCAGGGGTCCACAATGAGGGCTGTCACTTAATTCAAGTCTGAAAAAAAAGATCAGGAATGGTACCTGGATCCAGCACCACTGTTATGTGCTTCAGGCACTCTTCTGGTCGCTGGGCCTTCAGCATGTTGGCAAGTGCCTTTTTCCTCTCTCGGTCCTGCTCCCGCTGCCCCTTCTGCACTTCCCGCTCTCTCCTCCTCTGTAACGCAGCCTGGCGAGCCCTCTCTCTCTCCTCCTGGCTGTGTTTTGACTTCTTCTGAGGCGGGGACATTTCTGAACTTGCCTCTGCCACCAGAGACCTGCTACTCTGGGCTGGAGAGACTGACAGACAAACTGGAGGCTGGTGCAAAGGTACCCTCTTGGAATCCTCTGTGGCATCATCTTGGTCACTAGCTGAAATTTCCCAGGATGAGACAGGGGTTCTTGTCTGGGTGTCAGAAGCCTTTGGCAGCAACTGTTCTCTGCAGTCAGTAACCACTTGTTCATAGTTCTGACGGAGCACAGTACCCCTAGCTTTACACACTGCATCACAGCTACTCAGTTGCTGGTCCTCAGAAAGCAAAATACTAATTTTGGAGGACTTGCTGTTCACCAATTTCCCCCTTAGCCTTTCAGACAAGGGTATTATCTCCTCTTCCTCCTCACTCTCACTGCTCAGCCTTGCAATCGCATCCTTACAAGCGCTGACTCGGTCAGAATCCTGGTTACCAGGGAACTTTTCCAACCCCGGGGAAGGAGGAGAGGATTCCTCAGAGTCAGAGCTGCAGATCACCACAACTCTCTCCTTTGAAGGAGGCTGGCAGCGGCTGCTGCTTTTTACCGCAGGAGGCTGTTGTTTTAGAAAAGTGAACTTTGGCAGGTGCTCAACGTCGCTCTCATCCGACTCCAGGGACATCGTGGTCAGTCAGTCCCTTCCAACGAGCAGCATCTAGGAACGGGAAGCAGAGCAATGAGGAGCCGGCTCCAGACAGTCCCCATGCTGTGGGTGGGGATCCTGAAGGGGCTGGGTAACTTAATGACCTGTAACAACCTAAGTCTGCAGCCAGCGGCCCAGAGAGGTGACTAGATCTCGTGCTTCAAGACCCAGAGAAATAAGCCAATTTGCAGCCTCAGGGGCCTCCCCGCGAGCACGAGCCGCCAGGGCGGGTTCCCCGCGAGCGCAGGATACCCCCGAGGCGGCCGCGCGCGGGGGCTGGGGGCGCGCACAGCCTTGTCCGCGGAGAGGCGATGGCCGAGGCCGCCGTGGGGCGGACGGGGCCTGGGGAGGGCCTGGGAGGGTCCGTGCCGCCGTCCCCCTGCGCACAGACCCCGCCCCCCCCGGGCCACGGAGAGAACCCAGGCGTCCGGGTCTGGCCGCGACGACCCTTGCTCTGACCCCGCCCTCCTGCCGCCCCCACATTGAAACCTGCCGCCTCCGCCTCCTCTCAGTCCTGACCGGAAATCCTGCGCCAGAGCCGGAAGTGGCCCCCAGCGGAAGCGGAAGTGGTGGTGCAGGAAGATGGCGGCGCTGGGGCGACTGGCGGGTTTGGGGGCGAACAGGCTGCGTGAGTGTGCGGGGGGGAGCGGGTCCGCACGCGGGGTGCGGGGGGTCTGGGGGCGATTAGCGGATGGGGCAGGGCTCCGCCCTGGGAAGCGGAGAGTCCGTCAGGGGGAGGCAGTGGGACGCTGTCCGGGGAAGGGCAGTGGTGGGACCCGGGGGCTGGGTGGGCCTCGCCCACCCTGAAGTAAGTGCAGCCCGGGCGGGGGTAGGAAATCGCCCTTTCCCGCAGTGCGGCCTCCCGGTAACTAGCCTATGGGCTGTTAGTACCGGTAGGGGCAGGGGGGCTGGTTGTGTCTCAGGTGTGTAGTGGTTACAGCCTAATGGGGGGGGGGGGAGCTGCCTAGGCTTCCGAGGTGATGTTGGAGCCAATGAAAGTCTAGAACATGCCAGGAAGGGTGGCACAAAGAGGTAGTTGTGGACTGGTTACCTGCTGTGATCGAGCTACAAGGTTGTATGTGTGTCCATAGGTGCCAGATACCTTTTAAATGCACTTTGAGCTCAATGGATAAAAAGCACTTTAGAAGCGCTAAGTATTATTAACCGCCATTGCCCCCCTTCTTCCCTCCCGCCTTAGCTACCCCTTTTTGCCCATTGGTCACTCTGTCTAGAGTTCTGTATCATGCCTGATCCATAGCGGAGTATCTGAAGTTAGAGTAGTTTGATGTGCTAATAGGACTAATAGAAGTATATAGTTCTGCCAGGTCTGGGACATTAAAATCTATATGCCATGCACATCTGCCCATGCCAGTTCTTATAGGTTGGGCCAGTTCTGCTGTCAGTGACACCATTGTAATTATTAAAGTCACTGAAGTTACTCTGGTTCTTACATCTGTCCACCTGAGAGTAGAGCTGGCCCAACGTATATAAAATCTGACATGGGAGTAGGCAGGCATATATTACATATGCCTGGTTGCATATTGACTTAGTGGAGTTACTCTGGTTTTACACTTCTTGGCCTGTTCAACAGTATGTAGTAGGGAATCCTTCTGCACCAGGTCAGGTTTATCTTTTTACTGTTAACTGATGAATTGGAATGGGTTCAGGTGGGCCCTTTAACATAGCAGCCTTTGTGCCCAAAAAGGAAAATCCGAGTTCTCATTTAAAAAACAAAACAAAAAAGTCTGTTGTTCCTTTCCCTTCCTGCCATCCAGCAGATGCCCACTTCCTAATCTCCATTTCTCTTTGAAACTGGTGGTGGGCTGGGAGGTCAGATGGGTGCTCAAACTTAAAGTCCTCTCCTAATAAAAAAACAGAGCTGCGGACAGGGCATTCTCCAGGAGAGGCTCAGAACTTCTGAATTCTGCCACCAGTTCATAGTGCGACTTTGAGTAAATCCCTTGAGCTTTGTGCCTTAGTTTACCCATCTATAAAATGTAAATACTTTCCTACTACATTTGATGTTATATAGTTTTAACTGACATTTGTAAAGTGCTTTGATGTCCTTACATGAGATATATACCAGTGCACAGTATGATATAAAATAATTACATTGAAGATCAAACAAAGGTAGTTAGTTTCTTAGATAAGGATTAAATTTAATCCCAAGGCAGAGCTCTATAAATCCCATTACTTCCTTTCCCCACTCCGCTGCTATTTCTCTTAAGTCATGGCCCCTGTCTTTTACTTAATGTATTCTAAACATATATAATAAATTGTTCTTTTTAAAGACATCCACCCCCCCCCCCAATCTTTGTGACTTGCAAAGTATCTGTTATAATTTAATTAAGATAAAATTCATCTACTGCTTTTCTTTAAATAAGGAAATGAGACACTTGTGGTAACCACTGTTTAGTAAAACACTACTTAGACCTCTGAATAGAAGGATTTAGAGTAAAGTGAAAGTGGCTGCTGAGTGCATGAAAAAGAACTAATTATATGGAAGACACTTCTTATGAAGTTGAATTCACAAAAGGGTCAGACTTCCTTGATTTTAAACATTTGAATGTATTTACTGACAATGGATTTTGTGTATTTGGTTTTTAATGGAAGAACTTTGCGATGTGAAAAGGCGACATGTTCCAAGAAGGAGAAAGACGAATCACTTACTGTAACTTATTTTTTAAACCCAGGTCTTGGCTACTAGGCCATGTGCTTAAATTCATTCCTATTCAGGACAGCAATTAAATATGTGCTTCTATATTGTCCTGTATCGGGGCCTTGATAATGAAACTTTGCATTTTTATAGACACTTATCTGGGGTTGTTAAAGCTTTTTACAGACACTAAACCTCACAATTTGAGATTAAGTATTAATACCCATTTCACAGATGGGGAAACTGAGACATACAATATTTGTGACTTGACTCAATTTCACTGAGTGAGTTAGTGGAAGATAAACTCCAAGTGTCCTGAATTCCAGCTGTGCTCGTATCATTTGGCTACACTGACTGTTTTCTGTAACTGTTTCTGTAGCTCAGGATTTAAAGTTCATGGCCACAACTAATAGCAGAATGTTTGCATTTAGATGCACTGCTTAGAGTTCTGCTACTCCATTTAGGTAGCGGGATGCTTTCTGAAGTGCGACTTGGTTGTGTGCAGGAGAGACGCAATGGGTTAAACATGAATTCTCTTTATAATACATTTATTCTAAGGGCTTTTTTCTGCCTTTGGCTTTAACATTTGTTTTGAAATGACACTACTGAGCTTTGAATCCCTTTTGGCCCTGATTTAAAAGACAATGTAAATATTTGCCCATTTTGAATTAATTGCTGTAGATAATATTTTTTTTATTGTTCCTCCTTTGAATACAGTTTTGGCAGCTCCGCAGGTGACTGCGGTTGCAGTGCGATGCGCATCCAAGAAGAGTGGAGGCAGCTCAAAAAATCTCGGTGGCCGCAGCCCCGGGAAACGCTATGGCTATAAGAAAACAGAGGGTAGGTGGGTCAGTCTGTCCTGCTGCTTTATACACTCTGGATTGTGCCCTCCCCAAGTTGCCTGGTTCTCAGGGACTGTTACATGTGAAACTGCTATGTGTTTCAGAGTTCAGATGAGAGGGGCTGTTTGTGACTCTTTGCACCTGAAGGTTTAACCACCATTGGCTACAACCACACTGCATACGGAACCACTATTGTGAGAGTAGCCAGCAGAAGGCTTGAGTGACACAAGCTCCCTTCCAGATCTGCCTACGTGCAGCAAACTGAAGTTACCAATAAGAACCTGTATTGGTTCTAACTTAACTTGTCTCTGGGGAATCTGGGAGGAGGAACACCCCAGGGGGCACCTGATAAGTTAAATGCCCTTTCCCCTCACACTGCTCAGAAGCTGGGCATTTCAAGTATTGATAAAGAGGAGAATTATGCGGCTTAGTAGAAGCCAAAGTACAGATGCCTGTCACTGAGTGCCTAACAATTAGGGTGGGTTTGCTGATGGAAAAAACTGATGTAAAAGGCAATAAAAAAAAAAAAAAATAGCCTGCAGCAAACAGAAAATGCCTTGTGCCCTCGAACTAATCTTTTCAAAGGCTAAAACTGCTTTTTGTCATTGCATATCAACTGCCCTGTATTCCCTGGTAGGAGCATTCTTACTTTAAATGTTTTTAGAGTTTGGGATAATTCCTCTTTAGGAAACATCCCAACCAATGCTGGCTTTGTGAGCCCTTGAGCAGTTCTCATTCTGCCAGCACTCAGACTATAGAGATGCTTATTCTTTTGTAATCTGAATCCATATCTCTCTGTTGCAGGCGCTTTTGTTCATGCAGGCAACACATTAGCCACCCAACGGATAATACGCTGGCATCCAGGGGCTCATGTGAGTTACTTTTTCATCTATTATAGCTCTCCACAGCAAAGTCCAGAATCCAGCCTTAGCTCTATCAAGGCTCTTCTCTGTTTCCTCAATTGCATTCCATAAAATCCTGAAATCATTGTTTCATTACCAAACGCTTTTTACAGTTCATTCAAAACCGGGTCAGTGCATGAGCCAGATTTAGTAAACGACTGGAGAATTTTGACTATTACTATTGAAAGTTTTGCACGTGAAGTTAAGGGAATTGGTTCTCATGCTTCAGGATTAGAATAATCTCTCCTGCCCACCTCCACAGCGTACAGAATTGTCTGCAGTTCCCTGAGTGTGTTGTGTGTATTGCCTTCCTTTGACACATCAGGTACTGGCCATGGCTGAAGCCAGGACATCAGACTAGTGGCTTGGTCCACTTTGTTAAATGATACATAGTAACCTAAACACCTCCTTCCCTTTCTAACAATATACTGTTCATCTCTTCCAGGTGGGGATGGGTTGTAACAAGACTCTCTTTGCTCTGGAGGATGGGATTGTGCGATTCACCAAGGAGGTCTATGTGCCACCACCCCGCAGCCCAGAGAGCAGGGAAGTGATCTGTCGTCTACCAAAAGGGGTGGTGCTTTACAAAACCTTCATCAACGTTATCCCCACCAAAGAAGTGGGGAGCTTCAAGCTAGTCACCATGCTCTGAGGCTCTGCTGCCCCACGCAGTAATGACTGGTGGGGTGGGACTGATCACCGTGACAAACCTGGCACTCAATCAAAAAGATGCCTGGAGGACTCCTCTAGATCTGAAATGACTTGTTGGCAACTCCAGTTTCCTGCTCCTAGAACTCATTGGGTGTAAATTTGAGAGTTACAAGGTAATCCGGACCGTCCTGAAGTTTTTTTGGAGAAATACATATCAAATAGATGTTCTGGGGTTCTCTAACAGTGTGAGGATGTTTGTAAAACAAAAAGGGCTCAGTAAAGCTGCCTTTCCCTTCTGGACAGCTGTGCTCCAATCCAGCTAGATATACTGCAATTTCTGCACAGGAATTCTCCAGTTCTAGGTACAGCCATTTTGATTCTCAGCATTCCTTGGAACGGCTCCTGTCCTAACTGCACCTGATGTACACTGGGAATTCTGAAATGGGGGTGCGGGGGGAAGAGGGAGTGTCAGTCCAAGAGTGGGAACCTGAGTTCTGATCCCAACTTTGGCACCAACTCCCTCTGTAGCATTGGGCCTCAACTTCTGCCTCAGTTTCCGCATTGGTAAAACCGGGATAATGATGATCACATCTTCAAACATGAACTCTCATAACCTGTGTGTGAAGTAGGAAAGCAGCTATTCTCATGGGGAAACCGAGGCACAAGATTGCTGAAGGCTGTGGCATCAGGATCATTACTCAGGAGTTACTGAGTCAGCACACACCAAGAGGCATCATCATTAGACTAACTATAATCATTGTTTCTAATAGGCGGGAGCTAACTGGGGTGGGGATCATAGGCTGAGTTTGCAGCATATTGGTAACAGTTATAAACCTTCATGCAGGGAGTTACTGCAGTTTATTAGCATGAACAAGTACCAGAAGGAGCTGTCTCCACTGTTTGTGCTTATCCTCTGAGGGGAAAGTCCAGGGAGACATAACCAATCAGCTCTGCTCACATGGTGAGCTCTGGTTGTACTGTGGAGCCTGCATCTTTGCCAGAAGTTTTGTTGTAAAACTCCTCTCTGCTTAGGTAGAAGAGGGAACTCCAGGAGCTCCCTGTCCAAAAGACAGCTTCAGAGAATGAGAAGAAAATGTTCTTCTGAATTAATCCTGCAATAGCTTTAGAATTATGTCCAGTCCTGCCATGATGAGCATATTCAAAAATAAAACCCTACAGTCAATAGAAATATCTTCATGACTTTCTAAAGTTTCATTCCAAAGCAATTTGTCTGGATTTTGAGTCCCTCCGGTGTTTGTAACGCTCATATTACAGTATTGTGCAGGGCAGAGGAGCCAGTGAAAAAATAAGGCCCAATGACTTCTAAAATGTTTGGTTTTAATAGTAGAAGGTGTTAAACTTCTGTTCCTATAATTTCTAGCGTAGTGTGCCTTTAAAAAAAACCTTATCCTTGCCTCCTGCCTCTTTAGATTAGTAAACTTCAAATCATTTTTTTTAGGGAGTCAGTTTCACTTTCTGGTTCTCAGTCACTGACACTATACTGTTGTGTTTAGGTTCCACATACTGCAGAAGAGAATTTTCCCTTCCCCTCTTGTAAAAACACACTCTCTCTCTCTCTCTCTCACACAGACGATATTAAGAAATGAAAGCCTGATTAGGTTTTGTCTTTTTCAAACTCAAACCCCAACAGATTAATGCCATGTCCCCTTGATTTAGAGGAGGTGATGTGCTCACACTTTCAAAGCTAATTTGACTAAGTTTGGAACTCCCAATTGGGCAAAGAAGTCTGAGAGCATCATATTCATCAGCTGAAGCGTGAAAGAGGCATAATCCAAACAACAAAACTTGTCTTGTCAGACTGCAGACATCTTGTGATCTGACTGGCCCTGTTTTATCCACAACATTGTAAACAACATTTTAAAAGTTCATCCTGAAATACAAAAAAGTAGTTGAAAATCTGAGTTGCAGTTACATCAGCACTGGGGAAATTAGATTATCTGATCTCCAGAATTCAAATAGCCATTTGTTTTTGAAGGGGAACTGAGTGTCTTAGGGTGTTATCAGCATGGTTCTACCCTTGCACCTTTCAGGGTGAAGTCCCCTGAAGTTACATTAGCTTTCCCAGTTGCACGGTTTGGCACACAGCTCATGCTGTTCTGAAATGGGGCTGTTCTCTGCCTTTGTTTACAGCATTGTGGAGCAACTTGCTGTACAATCCCAAGAGTCCTAGCCCTTGGTGAACCTTTATCTTGTCGGAACTTATAAGCCTTCCTCCACGTAGCATTTTTAAATCCCCGAGGAATGTGGAGCACGGAGCTATGATTTGATGATAGCAGCTCTAGAACAAATACATTCATTGTCACTTGCGGGTCAGGATTCCCACTGGTACCTGATAAGGTAAATGTTTTTACAACATAAGAAGTAGATAAGATAAAGCATTTGAGGACGAGATTCCTAGCTTCCGAGGTTTAATACTTGGAGTGTGGGGCAGTAGCTGCTGCAGCCTCACAGAGGCTTACGTTACAGTGAAACAGCCCCATGCCTTTGCTCCAGAGTCCTTGGCTGAGTGGACCATCACCTTTGCTCTGCCCCCTCACATACAACAGAAATGGCTTAGGATTATTCCATGGTCTTTGGTTAAGATAAGGTTACTGGAGTGGAAATAGTGGAGCAGAAATCCCCTCAGGTTTATTCCACTGTTTCTGGGAGAGAGATGGCTGTTAAATCGATCCTGGTCTTCACTCCACCTTCGTTCTTGGAGGGGAGTGAGTTGATGGAAATCAACACTGCTTTGCCTGTGATTGGCACAAGGGGTTCTCAGCTGTTTGTGTGACTGGCCGAAGGCATGAAGTTCCATTCCGCCCTGCCGGCAGGGAGAGACCTCACAGGCCCTGCTGTCCTTGCCACAGAAGGAAGGAGAGGTGTTCCAGGGTTGATTCCCGTTCTACACAGCTGTGTTCCTTTGAGTTTGGTAGCTGATGGAGGCCTGGAATGCGTCCAGCAATCCATGCCCATCTGGTAACTCTGACCCTGCTCCAGTCCCTGAGACAGCTGGAGGATGCCTTAGGGCTTGCTCATAGGGAGGTGGCATCTATCAGAGAGGAGAGGGGAATCCATTATACTGAGCAGAAACATAGTGGTGAAGATTAACCCATGTTATAGAACAGCTTTATGTGAGTCCTTTCACACCATTGCCACAGCTCTAAAATTAAATACTCTGGGCCATCCATTAAACGCTTCTTAGAACAGCAGCACTTTCCACATTGCCAACTAGATAAGTGTGCAGGAGGAAATTATAGGCCCACTGCAGTTTCTAAAGAGCGGCGGTGGAAATCCAATGCAGCTATTACAGCCCATCCCACCCACTCCTATGGCCTGTCTCCTCATCCCCAGCTATGGCATTTGCTGGTAAGTTCAGGGATCTGTCAGCGTTTCCATTAAAAACCTTTTCTCAGGAAATCTTCCCTGTGAAACGATTAATTTCCTGTTAGAATAAGATTAGCCATTACATATTCCCCTCCCCCACCTATAAATCTCCACTTCTGCACAGAAATCAGTCTGCGGCGAGGTGCGTGGTACAGAGCTAGGAGCCAGAACTCCCGCGTTCTAAACCTGGCTCTACCACCAGCGCCCTCTGAGGCAAGGCCCTTACCTTCTCGTGCCTCACAAGGCGCTAGGGGTTTAGTAAGTGCATGTAACGCACTCTGCGCATGCAAACTGCCCTTGGAAGGCAGGGCTAAGTGTTGTTATCGTGTCAACTGCACGGATTCTATTTTGGAGACAGGCTTAACGGCTCAACCTTTAAAGGAAGGAAGTCAGTAGAGGAATCCCACTGCATTGAAAGAGTCACAGGATTTCCATTCTGCCCCAAGCAACCCTGGGTGTGGCAAGACCGAGAGGCTGCCATTTGGTACAGCAGACTTTTCCCGCCTGGGGTGCTGCCCTAGGACTGATCTCACCTGGATGTGGACGCTTCAGACAGAACACTGCTTTTCACTAGTCTACTGAGCAGGAGGCTTAAGGGTTGGATGGTGAGCACCAGGCAAAGCCTCACAATCCACTAACTTATGAACAAGCCCAGGCAGGGGAAAAAGACATTCAACAGTAGTAGCAGCGAGGAGGGCTGCCAGCATAAGGAGTGGGGGGAAAGAAGGACTTGGAATCCTGAAGTCACATTCCAATCTTCAAACCGATGGGTCAGACCGGCAGCCCTGTCCCCTCTCCTCGCGCTCTGCAGATGCCCTGGGGAGGGATCGAGCATTAACCTGCAGAAATGTAACCACAGGGAATTTCCTGGAACCCGGGTGTGCCTTTCCCAGAGAGAAAGGGAACTGTAGAGACAGAGAACAGAGTCCTCTGCTACTGCAGTGCGGAGTGCTGGGGGATGGCCTAGAGGCAAACAGGATGGGACCACTGCTGTGCTTCTAGACAGGATTTTGGCAGCTGAAGCAGCCTTCCACTCACCTCCTGGGAGGGGTCCACCCACAGTCCAAACCTCTCGGCAATCAGCTGATGGATCTCCCGCTGCCGATCCTTCTTCCGCACGCTCTCGTAGCTTGGCAAGCGCAGCTGCTCCCAGGGAGGGAGCTGATAGCTGCTGGGGGGTCCAACGCAGAATAGTTCATCTCCCTAGAAATACCCAAGCCGCCCAGCATGGAAAAACGTCATACGACTGTCAGCGGCAGTCAGCGCACCTAGTCTGCTGGGAACTCCATGGCCCAACACTCCTCAGCCCAGGAATTCTGTTCAGGATGCCAACTCTCAGAGTACCCCCCCAGAGACAGGTGTCTGTAGAGCCCTGTGTCTAATGCACCTACACCAGCACCCCATGATGATGGTGCCCTAGAGTTCTCACTGCAACCCCAGGGTTGCAGCACCCACACCACGGAGATTCTATCCAGAGCTTCATGCCCAAATCATTGCTGCAATAGGACCATTCTCTCTGGCATCCTGCACCCACATCTAAGGGGATTTGATTCACTACACTCAGGAATTGCCCCACACCCAAATACCCTCCCCAGGATTCCCCCGGTCTCCATACCCAAAGCATCTTCCACTACGTGACATGATCTCTTTGCAGCCCTGTTGTAATTACTGGGCCTATGAATTTACCTTAATTGTAAATTCAAGTGTAAGAAGTTAGTAAAGTGCATAAAATGCCACCATAACCCATAAGAGTTGCTGGGAAAAGGTGCAAATGGGAAACAGGCTGAATTAGTACAAACAAAAAGGCCTACAAGGACTGTGTTAAGATCACGTCTGGCACACAAGAAGAGTGTGGGACTGGAAATCAATGAGCCAAAATTAGTGTGTTGGAAATTCGGCCTAATTGCTGAACCAAATAATGAGAGGATGGACTATTCTGCCCATCACTCCCTTTTGGGGTCCTTAAAAAGACAAAGACTTTGGGAGGGAAATCAGAAGCTGCTGGCTGGAAGATGGGTGGACAGGAAGAGAGCTTTACTATCACGCTGCAACCTCCACCTTCTCCTGGGACCGTTGGGCCTGCCTTGTCCTGACCCTGAGAACCGTCCTGATGTGAGAGGGACCCAGATGACTGCCTTTTCTAGCTTTGTTGGGTTTTTCCTCCTCGCTCTGGTGTGTGTGTATCTTGTTTTGTCTTTCAGGAAAATGGGATCAGACTTTTAACAGCTCCAGTTATGATCATCTTTCATACCACCTCAAAGGTTGTCATAAATAGGAGGGGGTCCTTCCAAAACCTGTCTGTGGCTATAGGAAAGGGAACAAGGGGCGTTGTTAAAATGGAAGCCTCACTTCGTTCCTTACATTGCAAATGTTGTCAAGGTTTTTCCTTTTCTGTATTTCAATAAAGGGTTAAAAAGATTTGTAATGGTGTGTTTGCCGTGGGACTAAGCAGATGGAGGTCTCTGTATACCAAACCCTGAACGCTGTTTAAAACTTTAATGTTGGGCAGCGACAGAGTCACGTTAAGACCCTTGACTCTCTGGGCCCATTTATTCCATCAAAATTAATACAATAGCCCTCTCCCCAAAGCACTCTTACCCACCCCATCAGGGAAGAAGCCGTACCCTCACCTGCACCCCAGGATTCTCGGCAGGGCTCTCCAATTGCTGTGCTCCCGATTGGGGTCCCACCAGTCGCTGGTTACTGCTGAAGTATGGAGGAGGACAATCCTATATGGCATGAGGGGAAGGGAAAGGAAGAGAAATGAATACAAGGTAAGAGCTCATTTCTGGCATTTGGTGT